TCAGCGAAGCCGAGGATGTCGTCGACAAGTACATCGTTCATGCCTCGATGCAGAAGGCTAGAGGAAAAGTTGAAAAAGTGTTCAAGATTGTTGATTATGGGAGCAAGCTAAGAGACCTGGGGAAGGAAATAGAGCAAGTCAGTGGAAGAGTGAAGGTTATTCTTGAGAGCCAGATAGTGCCTCGTTTGGAGGCTGCGCAAATCCAGGACATAGCCAATGAACGTGCAAAGAAAAAGCAGGTAAAAGAAAAAAAACTTTGAACTTTTCATTTTCTCAGTTATTTATTGCTATTTACTGCATTTTTAGATATTTTCTTAGTTAATAAAAAGTTATATATATATATATATATATATTTTTTTTTTTTTTAAAAATACTTGTATAATCAGGTTATTGATTCTTTATCTATATGGAATTTTGACATGTCACAGCCACTTTTAATTTGTTAACTGCCCTTAAAATGTGAGATTCTAAGGATGTGATCATGTCTAATTAGTTGAAAATAATTGATAGAATCATCACTAGGATCGACCACTTTATAATTTGTTGAATATACTGATTTTTTACAAAAACAATGAAGTACTCTAGTAAAGTTTTGTTACTCTATAAATTTTAAGCCGTATAGAAAAATCATACATTAATATCCCCAGGACTTCATAAGTTGAAAATTTTTTTTAAAAAAAAAAATACATGAATATCAAATTTACTACGTTGTCTTTGTGTTTTTCTTTTAAATCCTATATAAAGCTAGATTTATGTATTTAATTTTGATATTTCTCCAGCAAACAACTTGTCAATCTACTTTTTTTTTCCCTCTTTTCTGTTAATCCATATTTACTTAGCAACCACTTTTTCTAAATATATTCCCAAACATTACAGACTGTAAAGACACTTAGGGCAACAAGCTTCAACTTGACATGGGGGAGGCCACTCATTCTGTTAAAATCTGAAGTTAAAAAGATAAAAATAACAGTTTTGCTTTAGTAACAATTGACCTAAAATAGGTGATTTCATTTGGATGATCATGATTGGCCACAATCAAGAAGTTATAAAATAATAAGAAACATGTTCAGAGTTATAAAATAACAAGAAGTTTACATACTTCCCCATCATAGAAGCATAATTTTGTTTTTAAAAAACTTTGAACATGCTGTCCACTCATCTTTTTATCTTATACACTCTTTCCAATAAATAGATATAATAAAATTTCTTTTAAAAGTACTCAAAAAAAATTTTTGTGGATAGATCGAACTATTGACAGCAAATGAATAAAAGCTATTCGAGTGGGAGAACTTTCACATAATTTGAAGTCTGTTACAGCATCTTGTCTTGATCATTCCTCATCGTGCTATATAGTTTTGACATGCTTAACACCTAATAGGCCCCAATAGTTGAGGAAGATAATGTGATTGGATTTGATGATGCAACAAAAGCAGTGATGGAACTTCTGAAAGCAGGATCAGAGGACCTAGAGGTTATATCAATAGTGGGTATGCATGGGCTGGGGAAGACGACACTAGCCAAAAAGGTCTTACATGACCCAAAAATTGAGTATGATTTCTTCGCTCGGGCATTTATCTACGTTTCTCAGCAATTTGAGAGGGCTGAGGTGTTCCTCAATATTCTGGGGTCTATTGGCCAACTCACTGAGGAAGCGAAAAATATGCCAGAAGAAAAATTAGCAGAACACGTTCGCGAACAATTGAAGACCAGAATGTACTTGATAGTTATGGATGATGTGTGGAAGATAGAGGACTGGGATAAACTCAAAGTAGCTTTTCCGAACAATAAGAAGCGCAGCAGAGTCTTGATTACTACTAGAAACACCTCCGTGGCTATTTATGCAAATCCAGCAGTTGAGCCATATCATTTGGACTTTCTAACTTTTGATGCCAGTCGAGAGTTGCTACGGAGGAAGGTTTTTGGTGAGAACAAGTGCCCCGAAGAAGTGGAACAATATGAACTGCATATAGTAAAGAAATGTGATGGACTGCCCCTGTCAATAGTGGTGATTGCAGGTATTCTCATTAAACACCGGCAGATTGTTCGTTGGTGGAGTCGAGTTGCTGACAGTGTCAATGACTACATTTCCAGGGATGAAAAGCATATTAAGGATGTTATAATACTGAGCTACAACCATTTGCCTTACCATTTGAAACCTTGTTTTCTCTATCTTGGTGTCTTCAGGGAGGATTTTGAGATCCCTGTGTGGAAGTTGTTGCGATTGTGGATCGCTGAAGGGTTTGTGCCTCAGCAAAGAGATTTAAACTTGGAGGATATTGCAGAGGAATACTTGGAGGAACTTGTTGACAGGAATCTAGTTATGGTGGGACAGAGGAGGTCAAATGGCCAAATCAAAACTTGTCATGTCCACGACACTTTGCTTGACTTTTGCAAGGAGGAAGGTAAGGAGGAAAACATTTTCCAAGAAATTAAGAAGGATAACCTGGAAATCTTTTTTTCCAAGAACCCAACCTTGGATGATTATCGTCGTTTGTGCATCAATGCTAATGTCATGGATTATATTTCTAAAAAACCTTCTGGTGCTCGTGTTCGCTCTTTCTTGACTTCTGCCAAGGAAGAAACTACCTTGGATGCTAAACATGTCCCCCTTATCCCAAGAGCATTCAAATTGCTTAGAGTTCTGGACGCGAAATCACTAAGATTTACTCTGTTTCCCCCTGATCTGTGCCAACTAGTTCTCTTGAAGTACATTTCCATATCTTGCAAACTTGACATCCTTCCTCCTGCAATGTCTACACTCTGGAGCTTGCAAACTCTTATAGTAGACACAACTGCTCGTACCCTTCAAATCAAATCAGACATATGGAAGATGCCACAATTGAGGCATTTGCATACTAATGCATCCACTTCTTTGCCATGTCCCACAACACCTAAAGGTAAGGAAGAAGCCTCGGTAAATGCAAATTTACAAACCTTGTCTTCCATCTCACCAAAAAGTTGTACAAAGGAATTGTTCGAAAGGGCTCCCAAACTCAAGAAATTGGCTATTTGTGGGAGATTGGCCATACTTATTGAGGCCAATGGTCAATCCAGATTATTTGAAAGTCTCTGCACATTGCAGTTCCTTGAAAACTTGAAGTTGTTGAATGAAGATGTATCCTCCCCATTGAATAGACTTCCTCAAGAAAACAATTTTCCCAGGAAGTTGACAAAGTTGACTTTGTCAAAGACTTTCTTGCCTTGGAATCAGATGTCTGTACTAGGAAAGCTTGAGAATCTTGAGGTTCTAAAGTTAAAAGACAATGCATTCAAGGGAAACAGGTGGAGGACAGAAAGCGGGGGATTTCAGAGTCTCCAATTTCTGCACATTGGAAGCACAGATTTGGTGATCTGGGATGCTGCAGAGAATCACTTACCCAAACTTAAGTGTCTTGTTCTTAAGCACTGCACTGAGCTTCAAGGAGTTCCACATAGCTTTGCAGATATTTCCACCCTCCAGATAATTGACCTTCATTGCACCAATCATTCGGTGGCCGCCTCAGCCATGAAGATTTATGTGTTGAAACTGGAGCAAGCACAACAAAAAGCCACTAAGAGCAACAGGTTTAAGCTCTTTGTATACCCCCCAGTTTAGTTGATGATTATCACATAAACCAAATTTGCCCTTGCTTCTTTGACTGGTTAGTAAAGTTCTTTCCATTCCTTTTCATCTCCTTTCTTGTTTGCTTGATCATCTTTAAGTGTTACTACGTTTTCTTATCTGTCAGAAAGTTTATCGTGAAGAGATGAGACAATTCACTTTTTGGCTGAATGAGGAAAACTGAGGAGCAAGAAGAAGAGGTCTTCTCTCAACATTTTTCTGCTTTGATAACTTCCAGCTGCAGCTTGAGATTTTTAACTTTGGTTTGTGATTTCCTTGTAATGGGAGGATAGGCTTTATTGGTCTTCCTCTGAATTTGTACTAGTATGGATCAAGTTTTACTTGCATCTTTCTTCTTCTGCTATCTTTTGTGGTGAATAAACTTTTGTACTTTTATTCTATTCCCACCAAAAGTGGGAAAAAATATCTGTTGTGTTTGAATAGCTATCTTGAATAGCTAGGTTGCTGGCACTGTGCTAGCTATCTTGCTAGGATTATTAGGCAAAAACAAGGAGAAATGGTAAACGAGCAGTTTGTTGTCATAGGATGAAATCTAGTTGGCAGCCCTAATTGGTGATGTATTTTTCTATGTTCCAACTGCTTGTAGTAGTTTGCAATTTCAAATGATTTCCTTTTTAAATTAGTTCTGTAAAATATTCATTCCTTAATTTTGTGGCATAGACACAATTAATCTTCCACAGGAATTGTTTGATTGAATTCTATAGGTACTTCAAAGTTGGAAACAGTGCCAAACCATGGATTAATAATCCGGTTCCTTCAATCACGGAAATGCTGTCCAGCAAGTCTGAATCTATATCATTTTATAAAAGAAGAATGGATGGTTGGAACTTGGAACTTCCATATTAAGTGATATCTCAAATTTACAAGCTCATTAGGAAGTTTTCAAGCTTATCATGCAAATAAATAAATAAAAAACAATCATTTAAGATTAAAAAAAAAAAGTAAATGTCAACATTGAAATTGTACTCAAGCGACCAAATAAATCCATATAACAAAGCTTAAGTGCTCAAAATGTTTAAGGAGGACTCGCAGAGTCATTTTATATAGAACACATTATGGGAATCAAAAGCAGACTGACTGTTATTTTAGGGACAGTTAACCAGTCATTGACTCCTTAACACATTTAATTACTGCAAAGTCAGGAGAAGACCACATCTCTGATTACTTAAAACTTTTATAATCAATTTTTTATTTGTTCAACTACTTGATGCAGTAGGGTTGTGCCGTGTTGTTATCACAAGAAAACTTCAATTATTGAGTCTCCCAAATTAACAAACCTGAATAGCTGAACTTCACCATTGCTTTGCCATTACCTTGAGCTTTCTGTATTAGCTGAACTTTTGCACTGAAATTATTACAACTAATTAGAGTGGCATAGATGTCTATGACTACCAGTTGCTTTGCCATTACCTTGAGCTTTCTGAAGCAGCTTGAAACAGATTGGGACTTGGATGTTAGACAGAAGGCTCAAATCCAAACTCTCAGACTGAAAGCAGGTTTTCTCAAAGCCCTTTTCAGCTGCGCTGGAAAATGGCAGATTGATGATATTAATTTGAAAGTCCTCCTTGGGCATATACAGACTGTGATCCTGAAGGTAGATAAAGATCTTCAGGTTCTTTGGTCAGAATTGAATCAGATACCATCAAAAGAATATCAGAGAATTCCAGCTGATTTGTATGTTTTGGCCTCAAGTTCACTATTAAAACTTGAGATGATTAATCCAGACATACAAGATGTCTATAGTGCACTTTCCAACTCAACAAGATTGACTTGTTCAACAATGGATGCTGTAATAGAATCTTTTGATGTTCTTCTAGAGTATCTGAAGGATCTAATGAGATACAAGTCTCATTCTGTTGTTCCAGTGAAGAAGGAAATCGAAGCCCTTGAAGATAAGCTAAGGCATCGGAGAAATTTCCTTGGGATTACGAAGAGGTGGTGCGATGACCATGAGGAATTGAAGGATTTCTTGACTCAGACTGGAGCTGTGGCTGACAACATGGCGTGTCTCTTGTACTTGTGTTCCGAAGATTGCAAGATGGAAGAAAATTTTGTGAATGAGATGAAGACTGAACTTTCTTATCAACTACAGAAGCTAAATCCTTTTCATCTTGATGTTAGAGAGAAATATATCAAGGCCCTAAAAGCTTTGAAGTCAGCAGGACAAAGTGTTTTCTTGGTGGATGAGCATGTTGTTGGATTTCTTGACTCTCTCCTTGCCAACACGGTGGAGCTATCAGACTTTAAGGCAAGTTCCCTACTTGCAATTGATCAATTAGAATATCTGCACGAGGAGCTGAAAATCCTGAGATATTTTCTCATGGATCCATCAGCTGAGAAGTACATTGAGAATCATCCGAAAGTGAGTAGCATATTTTTGCAAATGAAACGTGTTGTGTGTGAGGCAGCATGTGTTATCTACTCCTCTTATGATCATAATATTACTGAAGACATTACCAGGAAACAGAATCTTGCAATTACTGATTTGCTTCAACAGTTCAAGTTAATCAAGCAAGAGGCCAGAGATACCTATGATGAATTAATTCCAAAATCCTTGAGATCCAACTTCCCCAAAACTAATGAGCTGGGCTTCATTGATTTTGTCAGCCAGAAACTGAAGGAGCTTCTAAGTTCTAAGAATGATTCAATTGATCAATTACGGCATCATATAGAGACAGTTTACCAAAACATATTGTCCTTTAGAGGAGACATCACTGAAGCTAGAGAACAGTATATAGAACAAGAATTGGAAGATCCTTGGAAACGCTTCAAAGATATCGTGTACCACACTGATTATGTCATCGACTCATTCATCCTCAGAGATGAGCCTCTATGGTATCACAAGTAGGGGTTATTCGATATCACTGAAGAGATTAGCATTATCAAAGTAGAGGTCAATTGGATCAAAGAAAATACTATGGCTAACCTGGCAGCCCCCAAGTTTTCCCTGAATGTAGGCGGTGCATCATCTTCAGAAGCTAATTCTGAAAATTTTGAGGCACTGACAGCTCGCAACTATGAGGCTGCAGGTGAAGTTAAGAACCCCATTGACTATGTGGAGCTGTTTGAGGATGAAGCTAAACAGATAACAGAGGAACTAACAAATGGTTTGACACAGTTGAGCATGCTCTCTATTGTTGGAATGCCAGGAATTGGTAAGACAACACTAGCCAATCCCATATACCAGAGTCCTTTAGTTCCTCTGCACTTCCATGTTCATGCAAGGTGTTGTGTCACTCAGTTGTATCAAAAAAGAAGATTGTTGCTGGAAATTCTGCAACAAGTTAATGCAAGAACCGAGCCAAGACACGGATTGACTGATGATGAATTAGCAGAAGAGTTGTATAGAAGTCTGAAGGGGAAAAAGTATCTCATCTTCTTTGATGATTTGTGGGATACCAGGCTGTGGAATGATACGAGTACCTCTTTCCCAGATGATAATATGGGAAGCAGAATTATGTTCACAAGCCGATTTCATAACATTGTGTCACAAATTGAACGTAAGAGTATTACTTATCCTCTCAATCCCTTATCAGAGGTTACTTGTTGGAAATTGCTGGAAGTGAAGCTTTTTCAAAAAGAATGCTGCCCTCAAGAACTTTTGGGAGTTGGAATGCAAATGGCTATCAATTGCAAAGGCCTACCACTTGCTGTGGATTTGGTAGTTGGTCTGCTCAGAAACAAGGAGAGAAGACAAGATTGTTGGGAACAAATTGCAAATAGTTTAAATACACACCTTCTTGCAGATCAACAGGGTCGATGCTGGGGTATACTAGAACTCAGTTACAACCATTTGCCAAATTATTTGAAGCCATGCTTTCTCTATTTCAGAGCATTTTCTGAGGATGAAGAAGTTCCAGTATCTGAGTTGATGTGGTTATGGATTGCAGAAGGATTTGTTCAACCACAAAAAGACGAGAAAGGAAGCTTAGAGGATGTAGCTAAGAAGTATTTGAGCGATCTAATTGCTAGAAGCCTCGTAATGAAAACCAAAAGAGGATCTCTTGGTGGAGTCAAAGCAAGCCGCATTCATGATCTACTGCATGATTTTGTCTTGGCAAAAGCTAAAGAAGAGTGCTTCATGGAGGAAATAAATGGTTATGAGCATTTGATTTCACCTTCTTGTGTCCACACAATGTCCAAGCCATACCGTTTGTTTGTCCATTCCAGGTGGATGGATGGTGCTGCAATAACAAAGCCTTCTGCTGTTCGCGTCCGCTCTCTGGTAGTCTCTCGATTTGCAGCATCATGTCTAAAATCCAATTCATTTGCTTTGCAAAATTTCAAACTTCTGAGGGTGTTACAACTTTCAGACATCAAAACTGACTGCTGCACTAGCATATTCTGCCTGTTTCATCTGAGTTTCTTATCACTCGAAACTTACTCATATATGATCCCACCAGAAATAAGCAATCTCCAGAGCCTGGAAACTTTTCTTTTGAGGCTGAAAAGATACGGAGAAATTGAATTACCAGAGACTATTTGGGACTTGGTGAAACTGAGACATTTCAAGATATGGGGGTCATCCACTTTGCCAAAATACAATCTAGAGAAATTCTTCAAGTTTGATAATTTGCAAACACTTGCGACTCCAGCCTTTTGTTGTGGAGAAGATACTGAGAAGATCTTGAGAGGCTTACCCAGTCTTCGAAAGTTAAGTTGCATACTTCTGGATTCATGGGATAATTCTTTGAAATGCAACCGCTTTCCAAATTTGGACTTCCTCACGCGACTCGAATCACTCAAGCTGGAATACAGTGGTGAGGTGCAACAACATTGTGAGTTCAACTTCCCCTTGAATCTCAAAAAGTTGACTCTCTCAAGGTTCTTCTTACCGTGGAGTGAATATTCGACCATTGGAAGGCTACCTAATCTTGAGGTTCTCAAATTACTATGCGGTGCATTTGAAGGGAAATTATGGGACATGACAGAAGGTGAGTTTCTTGAACTCAAGTTCTTGATGTTGCAGAATTTGAACATTGCTCAATGGAATGCCTCAGAAGGAGATCACCTTCCTTGCCTTGAAACACTAGTATTGGCTAATTGCAATCAACTTGAGGAGATCCCTTCTTGCTTAGGTGATGTGCTAACGCTAGAGAAGATTGAGTTGCAACATTGCAGACGCTCTGTTGAGATATCCGCCAGGACAATTAAGGAAAAACAAGAGGAAATGGGAAATGAGCAGTTTGTTATCACCCTTAAATGATTATGTACTTGTGTCTGTTTCATGTTGCTTGTGTTGTGAATTCTATCTTCTTTTCCTGTCAACACAGCAACTTGTTTCCATATAAGCTCTCGTTCCATAGTTTTGCTTCTTTCCTTTGTGGTTTATTTTCTTCTTCACTCACTTATTATACTAACCAGTATTCACTTGATTAAACTTAATCAAACTGTTCAGGGAGCAATTTGTATGAATATTCATCAACTCAAATAGTAAAACTGGTACGTTTCATCAGCCAGGCTGCTTCATAACATTATTGAAAAAATGATCAACCACTGAATGAATTAAGAAGTACCTGGCTTACATTGAAATCATTCAGAAAAAAGCATCATTTGTTTATGCTGCGTGTTAAGTCATGTGAAAATAGCATCATTTGTTGATAAATGTTCATTGCGGAACGACATTTTCTCTGACAATTCTTCATGGTTAGATGACACTTTTTAGATTCCCCTTTCATACAACTCTATGTTTTCATTTGTAAAACTAATATTTACAAGACAAGATTGAGACTTGTATATTGCAACTTCAATCAAACCTAAATTACGTGTAGCCTATAATGATACTACATAGTACTTCCAAACTATAATTACAACAGCATAATACTTCCTAACTTATAGACCAGGCCAACAAGAAGAAGTTGAAAATGGAGGGCAATGATACATACCACGCTAGAATGTCTAAATTGTCAGGAGATGAATGTCGAAAGTAGTTATTGATAGATGCCCGGCTAACCATTATTCCAAGCAATTAAGAGTAATTAGAGGTCAATCTGAATCTCAAAAAATGATCACCGGCAACCAAAAGGGAACCCTTTACAGTAAACAACACAATCACCTAAAGTTCCCTCGCTAACATAAGTAAGCTCAGAAGAAGACTTAGAAAGCAGTAGTATGAGCCTAAAAAGAATAATGAAGTTGTTCCGCGGCCAACATATTAAAAACTCTTAACAACAGACACAGGCACAATATTTTCGAGATGTGGTAATAAACAAACACATTTATTTCAAAGACAAAAACTGGTGACTACATATAGTAGACCATAAAGAGCATATCTACAATATCAGTTGGCATCAAAACAAATAGGCAATACGAAGAATCACCATTGCATACAATCAGCTCCCTCATCTATCCAGAGAGAGAGAGAGAGTACCATGACGCTAACAGCCTAGCAGAAAACCAGAAAGAAAACATCTTCTTGAAGTTAAATAGCATGGTTTGTTCCTGAGTTATTGATCATAGTCCTGTCTGCTGGCTAAGCATAGCTCGTGTAATTCATTCAGAATCCATTCTTCACCAGTGTGCCCGCCAAGGACCAATACTCTGGTTCCACCAACCACACATGTACTATGGCCCCAAGAAAATTTTGGTGGCTCTCCAGGAACATTGAGAATTCTCCAGGATGGTTTTTCTTCTGCAGGATCTAACAAGAACAGCTGTGAAGGAGAATGCAACCCAGCAATTGAACCACCAAAGATGATAATCCTACCACAAGGCATGCTTACTGCCACATGATCAAGTCTAGGAGGAGGAATTACAGCATTCTGGCTTCCTAGGCCAGTGAATGCAGCACCGCATTCAAGTTGCCTCCACTGTGGCTTCTCATCATCCAAGTCAATAGTATATGCCTCACCTGACCTTAAGCGCAAGTGCCCGCTCTTGGCAAGCCCCCCAAACATAAGAATTTTTTTCTTTCCATATACTGAGAGTGAGTGCCCCAGTCTGGATGGAGGTGCCCATGCAGTTGGGATCTCTCTCCACTTGGGGTTTTCTGTAGTAAGATCCAACAAATATGTGTCACTGAGCAGCACCCCTGCATCAGTGCATCCACCTGAGACGACTAACTTTGACCCTTCTAACGTGCAAGAGCTATGCCAAGATCTAGGAAGTGGAGGAGTTCCACCAAAGACTTCTTTCCACGTGGGGTGTTTGGCATCCAAGTCGAGAACAAACACATCATTGAGCAACCCTTGCCTCCCACAGCCTCCAAATACCACCAACCAGGAACCGTTCAGGCATGAAAGTGTATGGCCCCAGCGTCCTGGTGGGGAAGATTTGACACTCACTCGACGCCATTCTGGGTTTGCAGCATCAAGATTTAGGACAAAGGTGTCATCCATTGGCTGCATGTTGACTCCTTCTCCACCAAACAGGACTAGACGATTGCCAGCGGCACAAGCACTGAAATTGCAACGTGAAGGCTCAACTGCACCTCCAACTGTCACCTTTCTCCAGCAAACGGCTTCAAGAGTTGTCAATTCCCTAGCAAGACGCCCCCAACCTAATTTTTTTGTCATCAGTTCCAATGCACCAGTGACATCCCTTCCCCAAGCATTTTGACAAACCATTTTTCTTACATGCTCATTTTTTGTTAATAGGCGAATCCTTCTACAAACAGAGCCAATAGATGCTACATCCCTTGGTGTCAACCGTGATAATATGTTCTGAGCCAGTACTTCATCAGTGAGCTGAAGAATCCTACATATTTCCTGATGCTGAGTGTACTGAAACTGCTCACTCATTGGAGCAGTGTCTCCTGACTCATCAAATTCATGCTGGCAAGTTTTCTTGAAAACAGGATATGATACAGTATTTAGATCTATTTTTGCTTCAGAAAACATTTGAATCCCAATTACATGCGTAACTATGCCATCATCGCTATGTATTTGTGCGAGCCTTAACCTATTCACCAGAGGAGTTCCATCCTTCCTGAAGTTGAGAAGCTCACCTTGGAACTCAATGCCTTCCTGGAGACATCTTCTGATCTCAGAAACTACAACAGGATCAACAGAAGGATGCCTTCTTTGAGCACGAGGGTCTCTGAATTGCAAGAACCGACTAAAGCAAAGGATAAAGAGGTATGTGTCAAATGAGCAACATCATAGTCTTAGATATTCTAAGGTAATTGATGAAATAGAGGGAGAAAATTGATGACTTCAAAAGTCAATAACCAGAATCAGCTGCAGAGAAGCACTGGTAAGTCAGAGTTTAGTTATTGTCTATAACTTATTGCTTAGTTGCAATAATGCACTCAAGTTAACCTATGGTATCTACAAAATAGTATGGAAGGAAACAGCACTATTCAGATAAGCCACGAATTTCCACCACAGCACTTTGCATAAACAAGTGGAGTTACATGTACAAATAGAAGATTCACTATTAGTGAGCAGTATTTGCTTTGGACAAAAATTTCACGAAATCTTTGAAACTTGTTTATTTCAAATTGCATCTCCATCCTCCTCTAGCCATCCAACAAATTCCATTAGACGTCAAAAATGACAAGACAATTGAGTAGCAAATGGTTTGGGTGGTATAAGAAGAATATTTTATCATCTGGCACAAGAATCCACCATTACAGCATTAAGCTTGCTGATTAATTTATATATTACCTTTTACAGCAGTTGAAGTTTTCAGGACTAAAGTTGGAAGTTCGTAACAAACCACAAGCCACTATTTATTGAATTTACAAGTTATAATCTATACTGCTAAAAAGCAGCCAAATAAGAATGTCTGAACAGAAAATTTTGTGTAAGAGTGAGACAAAAATGCCATCACTGCATCTGTTAACAACATGATAACTTGAAGATTCATCTATATGAATTCATTGCATTTTGGTCCACATTGTACATGGAAAATGTCAAAAGATGAAAAAAAAAGGAGAAAAAAAAAGGGACATCTGAATTTGTCAAGGGAAAAGGGACAAAAGTCGATCTTTTGATTTTTTCAGCACAAGTGAAACGGAAAAATAGAGGAAGACCTTTTTACCAGAAGCTCCTACACCTTTTTCACAAAGGTGAGTGCAGAAGAGGGATAAAAAGTAACAAAAATCTCATTTTTGGGATATTCCAAGACTTTTTCCAGTACAATTCTCACTGCAACAGCACACTGTGTAAAACAAAGAAGAAGACGAAATTCTTCACCTCAGCCACCTTTTAATTCCTCATTTTCAAATAATGATGTAGTAAATTTTGATTTTTAAATAATCAATCAAGCAAATATTAGCCCGATTCAAGTATAAAGTGTTATAAACAAGTCAAATTCAAGTATAAAGTCTTATAAACAAGTCAAATTTCATATTTCCCAAAGTACTAGCTCAGACCGAACGTAAAATCAGAATAAGCACTATCTCAATGATCTTTTGGAAACTTAAACAACTAATCCAAATGACAAAACTCCAAGTTAATACATCTTCATCAACTAAGACTTTAAGAGCCATTCAATCACTAATCACATTGAATGCG